CCCTCAAAATTCTATCACCTCTGGGCTAGGGATTTAGCTCAGTGGTTCCGCCGCCTGCCTCGCAAGTGCAAGGACCCAAGTTCGATCCCCTGTACCAAAAAAAAAAAAAAAAAGATTATGGGCTGGGGATTTAGCTCAGTGGTTCCGGCGCCTGCCTCGCAAGCGCAAGGTCCCAAGTTTGATCCCCGGTACCACCCCCCCCAAAAAAAAATTCTATCACCTCTCCATGAGTCTGTTAATCCAGGGAAGTTGACAATCAATATTAACCAGTACATGCTTAAATCAGGTTAAATATAGGTATCTCCTTGTGATGGTTAAACCTAATTGCCAACTTGATTGGCTTGGGAGCTGCCTATGGATAAATAAAACACACTTCTGGATATGTCTGGGTGGGTCATGGAGGTGCAACCTTGGGTTCCATTTCTGGTCTTTGACCTCTTCTCTGGCCCCCTTTCTAACCTGATCCATTTTCTGGCTGTCATAAACTGAGCAACTTTGCTCTGCCACACTATTTGGCCCTGATATTTCTCCCTTGGAGTCAGATGACCAGGGACTGAACTCTTTGAAACTGTAAGCCAAATTATATCTCTCTCATTTAAGTTGTGAGCATTATGTAGTTTGTCCCAGAAGTGGACAAGCTGACCTTTACACAATATTGGTACTGAGATGTGGAGCCATTGTTGTGACCATGTTTGGCCATGTGGTTCAGAAGCTTTTGGAACTGGTTTGTGAAAAGAACTTGGAAAAGTTTGGAGATGTGGGCTAGAGAAGACACAGAATGCTGTAAGAACAACTGATTTTAGTTGGGAATGATGACTCTATTGGGAATTGGACTATAGATCATGTGTGTTACACTCTGGGAAAAATTTTTCTGCATTTTTCACATGGCCTGAGATTTTGCTGGAAGATGAAATTAAGGGTGACAGGCTATTGATCTGGAAGAGGAAATTTCAAGTATCTCAGTGTTCAGGCTGTGGCATGGGTATTGCTGGCTGGTATTAGACAGATAAGCAGTGAGAAATTGTAGCAAAAAGCAGAGCAGAAAAAATTGAAAAAATTAAATTTAGGCCCCCATGTGTGAAGTTGGGGACAAAGAAGATGTGGTTGCTAAGAGATTAGTGCCACTAAAAAGAAGCCAGGTATTTTGAACTAGATAAGAAGAAAGATGCCTTGAGGGTATCTTAGGAATTAGCAAGACCCCCACCCCACAGGATCAAATGTATAAAAATATAAATCTTTCATTTGACAAGAGAGACCCTGAGACTCCTGCTTAAGAAGGGCCTCCTAGGGAATCAGTTCCTTGGGATTCATTTCACCATACTCAGCCATCCAGACACCTCATAAGCTGCTGCAGCTTTGACCAAAGGGGGACAGTCTACTGCTTGATGCAGTGGTAGTCTTTGGCATGGTCTTTATAGACAGTTGTTCAGACATGCAGAATGCAAGAGTTGAGGCTCATGGAGGCTTCTGCCTAGATTTCAAAAGAAGATCTGGGAGGTTTGGCAAGGAGCCCCTGAGAATTGGGTGCATGGAGCTGGGGGAATGAAGCTGAAAGTGCAGTGGAGGTCCCAGGAAGTAGGAGATGTCAGGAATATGGAATGTCTGCTGAGGAAAGCTTCAGGCAGCAAGCACAGCCAGCCAAAGAGAGGTCATGTGGGCTGCAACCAGGAAGGACATGGGGTGGGGCCACCCAAGCCACTGGAACTCGCATCATACCATCATGTGCCCCAAGGCCGAATATGGGATGACAGGACTTAATTTTTACCATGCTGGTGTTTGGTCTTGCTTTGACCCTTTGCTCAGGGGATTGAACTCAGGACCTTGCACTTGCCAGGCAGGCGCAGCACCACTGAGCTACATCCCTGGCCCCCATCTTGTGCTTTTTCTTTCTATTCTTTCAGTTTGGAAGGGGAATGTTTACCCTGAGCCATTGCATATTGTGATTATGTAACTTGTTTTTGATTTTTGCTACTTTCTGTGGACTGTGTGTACAACTCATCTGAATTTTCAAAGCTTTTGGAACATTGCTTGAATCCTCCCCATGTATGCGGCACCCTGTGAGAAACCTGGAACCTGGGTGGTATTCTGCTTTGTAGTTTATTTCTTAAACTTTAAAATACTATTTAGGATCATTTCAATACATGCACATCTCAAGAGTGACCCCAGAATTTCATCATGTTATGTGTGATTTTTTTAACAGCTTCTCTTCAATCTCCCAACACTCTCTGCCATCAAAGAGTGCCTGTTTCTAATTCTTTGACTACTCGACTGGGAAGCAGAGGATTTGTTCTCCCTACGTGACCACACAATTCCTTCATCCAGGTCTGCCTCCACACCTGAGTGATGTATCCTCCACAGTCTTCAGATCACAGTTACTCTCAATCTCATATATATGCTGCTTTGCAGCTTTGGCACTGTGGCTTGCTTTGTGTCATGATTAGAAAAGAGGAAAAATAGGAGAAGGAAGGAATGGTAGAAAGAAAGTAGGAAGGAAGGAAAAACGAACAAATGAACCAGGAAGCTGCTCCCATTGGCTCTGCCCTACACAGGACCTCCTTTCTCACCCCGCAGAGCAGAGGGGACGACTTGGACTTCTTTCTCTCTGTACTGGGTCTGCAGTTCTAGGGCTTGGGTTAATTTTCAGTCCGGGTCTAGAAATAAGAAAAGAAAAACAAAAACGAAACAAAAAAAACAACCGAACAAAAAGACCCAAGAAATTTATCAGGTTCTTCCAAATTCTCGTCCTCCTTCCTGAATGTCTGTGATTCTTCTCCATGCATGTTGTTTATAATTTTACTTGTATTCAGTTTAGGGTTTTCAGATAAAATAGAAGACAACTTGTATACTTTTTTGGTGTAAGTTTATGTTAAATGCTTCACAGGACATACGCTAAAAAAAAAAATTCATTGTTTACCTCAAAATAAAATTTAAGTGGGAAACTTGCATGTGTTGGATAAATCTGGCAACCCTAATTCAGTGGTAAACGGGATGGCGAGTAATTACTCCCTTTTACCCAGAACAGAAACTTCACCTCATTATTTTAACAGCTGCCTATGATTTTCTTTTAGGCAGGAACGAAATGTATTTAGCCACTTCACTATTGATAGATGTGTAAGCAGTTTTCAGTTTTCTCCTCTTTTAAGTAATGCCATAGTGACATTCATTTACATTTATCTTTGCACACTTTTAATCTCAGTTTCTTTATGCCAAATAAGGAAGTGCAACTGCCTATCCCAAAGGGTTGTTGTGCGAATCAAATGCTATGAGTGTGAATATGCTTAGTAAGCTGTTAAACCCTATAGAAAGTATTTCTCAGCACTTGCTTTTTAGTTGCAACAAACTTACAAGCATATATGCTTAGCTTCCTATCAGATAAAAAAATTCCTTAAGCGGATATATTTTGTACCATACTGCCTTGCAATCAGTTCTACTATGTTCTATCACAGTATTTTATTTTTAGATGACTCTAAGTAAATAAGAGTTGAATATGAGGAGTAAACTTTTCTTCTTAATTTGTCTTCAGCTTCTAACATTTCCTTCTTTCTTAGATATAGCTCATTACGTTTATCTTAGATCCCTTTCTCAAATCACCTATGTTTTTGTTAAAGTAATTTCCTAAAGTCATTGATCTTCATATTTGACGTATAACTTTACCAAGTTTCCAAGTGACTCAACCAGGCCCAGGAACCTCTGATCTAAAACACTATACAATGCAGCCATTGACATTTTTTTCTACTGACTCCCATATCAGCAGCCATCTGATTTTACCTCACTATAGCCAGGATTTTAGGGGTTGCAAGTGACAGAACACAACAGCAATTAGCTAAGGTGTAAAGGTGTGTAGGCATGGCTGAAAAATCCAGAGGTATTGCCTAGCTTGTCCTAACAGCTCAAATGATGTCACCCAAGAGATAACGAACACTTGGTATCTCCCTCGATTGTAAAATCACTAAGGTACCTCTAGATCTCACATCTTCAAGCCATGCATTCCAGGAATATAAAGTCTCTTTAAGTTGCCCCTAAAGAGGAAAGTGACTTTCTTCTTCATAGAAGTTCCAGCAAATCACTCACTGACTCTGACTCCTAATCAAATTGCCATTGCCAGGGGATTGGAATATGCTCATTGATTTAAGTTTGGAAGACAGTGCTTGGGTGTGGGGGAAGTATGCAGAAAAGGTGCTGGGAGTCAAACAGTGCCAAATGTTCTCTCTAAGGAACCTTCTGTGTTTCAGTATTGTTTCGAAGATCCACTGAAAACATCCTTTTTTCCCTTTTCATTTCCATTACTCTATTTCCTTGTGTCAATACCAAATCCACTTGCCAGAAGCCTGCCTAATGGTAGATTCTGTTTCATGAAAATGTTTTTCTAAGGGTCAAGGAACTTCCTTTCAGGCACATGTAAATAGTAATTAATCATGTTAAGAAAGAGGTAAATCCCTTTAACTATTAACATTGAAAATCTCCTATCATTAAATGCTTTTGCATTTAATACAAAGTGAAAATACCAACTTCCTTATACAAAGGCAGGTTTAACATATGTTTCCTGGTGGAGTCTCACTTTTAAACTGAATTTAATTATAACAATTTGCCTGGGCAACAATTATCTCAACTGAATGGGGAGAGGATAATACTTTTCATTAAGAAGAAGAATCAATTGGGCAACTGAAAGCAGCAGTCTTCGATAGGGGCAGATGAAATATCTTAGATTTTAGAATGGCCAAAAGCCAAGAATATGAAGTAAATAGTTCTCTCACTCCTTCTTAGCAACATCTTGAAAAATACTTAAAAATAAACAAATAGACAAACAAGCAGCAACAGCAGCAGGGATTTGCAGATCAGAAAAAGGATGGCCTGTGTCAGTATATGGACAGGTTCGCGGGCTCAGCAAGAGGGAGAATGAGCTACTGATAAGAAAATTGATGCAAATTAAAAGCATGGAAGTTCAAATGCTAACCTATGATTTTTCCCTTCATCCCATTTTTGTTATTCCTCAGATCCATTGGATCTCCTAAGGAGGCAGACCTACTCTCTCTATTTATTACAGAAAATGTCATTGTATCTGACAAAGAGCAAGTAACTACGGGTAAGTCAGTCCTCCTTAGAGTGTGTTCACTGAAGCATGTTGGCAAGTAGCCCTTGTTTCCAATGGAATATAGACTGAATAACTTCCAGGTTGTTGCTCTCTGGTTACTGAGCAACTCTGTCCCCCACCCATTAATTTTCTTGCATAATATCAAGTGATCTAACCATTCGGTCCTTCTGCTCCCTTCTTGGGTGTCCTATTTTCATAGCCACTCACTCTCATCTGCCACCCAGCCCTCCAGTGCTCCTCTCACTCCTGCTCTCATCTTCCATCTTCTCATTCTCCCACTTTATCTCCCTGCTTCTGTCCCCCTACAGTTTTCTCTTCCCCTTGCTGCACAATCAAAATTGTGCTTGAACCTTTGCAAAGGGCACAAGCATTCTGATGAAAAGAGTTGGTTTCTCTGAGTTGGGACTGAATATGGGTGGAGAGAGGTGACTGTTTCTTGTGAAAGAAGCAAGAAGAAAGGAAAAGTTCAAATAGAAATTCTTTCACCTATCCCAGCATCCTCCTGAATTACTACCTTGTTTCTTTGATCTCCCTTGTTTACCAAAAATATAGCTAAGATATTTGTGAACACATGTGTGCTGAAACTTCCTCTGAAGTGGAAAATTTTCAGTGTGTTGATGTTAGTCTTGGTTTCTGCCTCCTATGTGGATTTTTTTTTTTGGTACCAGGGATCGAACTCAGGTCCTTGAGCTTGCAGGGCAGGTGGCAGCACCACTGAGATAAATGCCCAGCCCTCATGTGGATGTTGTAAGGGGTTTGCTAAAGTGCAAATGTAAATCAATCCAAACATCAGATTGGTTGAAGTCATTTATAACATTGGGTTCATAATCATATAATGAATTTAGTAGTCTGTGGTCACCATTTTTGCTCCTTTTCTGTTTCCCCTCTCTGTTAAAATTTTCCATGTTGTGTTAATCAGAATTTCAGTGGAAAGAGACACCGTCAAATTAGGAAAATTGGAGGAGAGATTAATAAAGGGACTATTTACAAAGGTGTTGGAAGGTGTAGGGAACCAAATGGAAGACACAGGTGTTAGGGGAACCTTTACTAGCCCCAGGTTGGGGGAGGGAAGAACAGTAAGCAGTTACTAGAACTTTCAGGGAGATAATCACATAGAAAGAAGGCCTTTTGTGGGCATTGTGGCCTTCTATTGAGGGATTCAGCTTACTCCCTAGTCTCTTTTCTTTCCTGGGTCTTCTGCTAGCTCTCCCCATTGGCTGAGCCCAATTAAGAGCTGGAGGTGCCCAATTATGCAGCTCATACAAGTCTGTCTCTCCAAAGCACAGGTGAGGTTGGAGAAGGGGGAATAGCAGATCTGGAGGGTGGCACAAAAGAGACACGACATATAGGTACACCCTTTATGTGAGAGGAAGGCAAACTGAAAATACATAGAAATTGTATAGAACATTTATATAAATTTATCAGTTTAACATTTCATAACTTAGGAGACAATCTGATACAGAAATAGAAGAATTTTTGGTTGTGGCTTTTGATTTTTTTTGTTGCCGGGTTTTGAACTCAGGACCTTGCACTTGCAAGGCAGGCAGCAGCACCACTGAGCTAAATCCCTGGCCCTTTGGTTTTTGATTTTAATGTTAGACATATATAATTTTGAAAGCTATTTTTATATCAGTGGGCACGCAATTTTTTAAAATACATGCCAAGGTTTAGGTCATACATTTATGGGGAGAAAAGGTTAACTAAAAGTATACTCATGATTAAACATTGTATGTGTCAGCACTGAATAATTTTAGTAAATGAATGCAAGTACTTTAAATGCTATAGAGAACATCTATTGTTTTTAGGCCTTGTTATGATTTAGATCTAAAATGTTCCCCAAAGTCTCGTATGTTCATAGGTGGAGCTTTTAAAAGGTAGTTGGACCATGGGAGTGCTATATTAATCAGTGGATTAAAGTATTGATGAATTTACTGCTGAATATGCTGGGGAGGTGGGGCCTGGTCAAAAGAGGTGGATCACTGGGGTTGTGACTGAGAGGGATATATTCTTATCTCTGGCTCTTCCTTCATTCTTTGCTTTCTGACCACCACAAGTTGAGCAGCTTTCTTTTGCCATGCTCTTCCATCATGATGTTTCTGATTGGAGCCAGGTGACCATATGTGACATGCAATAAAACCATGAGCCAAAAATAAACTTATTCTTTAATTTGTGAGTATCAGATATTTTATCCAAGTATAAAACAGTGACTTATACATAAAATTGTTACTGGAAATGAGGCCATTTCTGTTATTGTACCTGACCATATCTTTCAGAAGCCTTTGGAACTGATTTGCAGGAAAGGTTTGGAAAGATTTAGAAATACAGACTAAAGAAGCTCTAGAGTGCTGTAGGTAAGCTTGATGGGGGATTCTTGGTAGAGCTCAGAAAACCAAAATGTTGATAGGAATGTGGGCAGTATTGGCCAGGCTCATAAACTTTTACAATGGTACCTCAGTTCATGAACTTAATTTGTTCTATGATTTTGGGAAAATGACCATGTTTGTGTTTGTGTGGGAAAGATGGCCATGGTCATGTTTGTCAACCAATGCAGAATATGCAAACAAGAACAAAATTTTGCAAAACACTTCTGTTTGTGAACCAAATTGTTTGCAAACAAAAGCATTCATGAATCAAGGTACCATTGTAGTTGGGAATGAGGATTCTACTGGAAACTGGACTAGAGATCATGTATGTTTCATTTTAACAAAATGTTATCTATGTTTTGCCCATGTTCTAAGATTGAGTGAGGCTAAATTTAAAAGTGATGAATTAATTGGCAAAAATTTTTTTCAATGAAGTCCAGTATTGAGGCTGTGGCATGGATACTGCTGGCTGCTATAGTGAGAATCAGGAGCAAAAAGCAGAGCTAAATGATTCAAAATTTTTATAGCTTGGCCCAAAAGGAAATGCTATTATGTTGGGGTCAAGGAGAGTATAGTTACTCAAAAGATTACAGCATTTTTATAATGCCAAATATTTTATGTTAAAAAAATAGGAAAGATGTTTTGAGGGCATCTCAGTAATTGGCCAAACCACATCCATTATGAGCTCAAGGCTGTAAAACGGTAAACTCCTTTAAACACTTTAGTTTAAAAAGAGAGTCCCAGGGCATCCTGCTCACCCAGGGGAGCCTAGGTGGTGCAGGGGTTTTTTTTGTTTTTTTGGTATGGGGATTGAACTTGGGACCTTACGCTTGCAAGGCAGTTGCCAGAACCACTGAGCTAAATTCCCGGCCTTGAGCCTAGGCAAGTTCAGCCATTCGGACACTCAGAGGCCAACATGGTCCCAGGGACCCTGGCTACTGTTTGAACTGGTGACAGACTTTGGTGTCATCCACATGGTTCTAGTTTTTTAGAAATACTGATTGCAAGAGTCATGAGATCATGGAGGGTTCCACTCATATCTCAAAGGAAGACCCAGAAGGCCAGGCAAGAATCCCCTGAAAGGCAATGTGTAAGGCTTGAGAGTAAAGCCAAGAGTACAGGGGAGACCCCAGAATTTTTGAGATGCCAGGAAAGTGAAATGTCTCCTGAGAAAATCCTTAGGCAGTGAGCAGAACTAGCCCAAGAGAGAAGCCATGTGGGCTGTCACTGGTAAGGCAGTAGGGATGAATCTTCCTAGATCTTTAGAGCTCACGTATTTCCACAGTCTACCCCATGTGAAGGACATGCAGTTACAGGGCTTAATGTTTGCCTTGTTGAATTTTGGTTTTCCTTTGGTCCAATTCCTTTCTATCCCCCTGATTCCTACCTTTTCAAATGAAAATGTTTACCTTATACCAAAGTATGTTGAAAAGATTTCACTGTATTTTTAATTTTTACAGGGTTTCATAGCTAAGAGATTGCCTTGAGTCTTAGAGAAGACTTTAAACTTGAAGTTTTCAACAATGACAAAACTGTTAAAACTTTGGTGCTTCTTAGAGATGAATTAAACATATTTTACATAATGAGATAGACATAAGCCTTTCATGGGCCAGGGATAAAACATTATGGTTTAGATCCAAAATGTTCCCCCAAAGGCTGGGCGAGATGGTACATGCCTGTAATCTCAGCACTTGGGAGGCTGAGGCAGGAGGATCACCATGAGTTTGAGGCCAGGCTGAACTACAAAGTGAGACCCTGTCTCAAAAAATGTATTCCAAAAGTCTCATGTATTCAGAGATGGGGGCTTTTGAAAGGTGATTGGATCATGTGGTGAATAATCTGTGGCTTAGTCATTGGTGAGTTCATAGCTAAATATATTGTTGGGAGTGGGTCTTAGTTGGAAGAGGTGAGTCACTGCAGGTGTGACCTAGAAAAGAATACTCCTGTGCTTGGCTCCTCCCTTTGCTCTCTGGTTCCTGGCTACCATCAGTTGAGCAGCTTTCCTCTGCCAGGCCCTTCCACCATTCTGTTTCTGCTTTGGAGCCAGTTGACCATGGACTGAATCTATTAAAACTATGAACCAAAATAAATGTTTCCTCCTTTAACTTGGATATCAGGTACTTGTACCAGTCATGAAAACCTACCTATTATAGGCCTCTTTCTCTATTCTTTTGGATGTCATTTCTTAAATTTCCATCAAGACCTTTCCTGTCTTGGACCTTGTGGCTTATAGGTGGACACATGGTTCAGTTTGGCCAAAAAGTGTATTCAGTCCCCTGGGTCACAGGGAAGTGATCAAGGATGAGCACCTAAAACAATTTAGGCCAATTGCGATGGAGCCCAGAACATTGATTCTTACTCCACCTGAACTTCAGGGAGAATTAGGACAGGAGCTGCTGACAGTCATTTCTGCTGCCAAGTGGACATTGGCCATGACAGAGACATGAGGTGAGAAGAACCCAGATATATAGAGATATATGGTAGTAGAGTTTGGGTTCTTGAGTTAGTCTGTGTCAGGAGCCAGCTCTAAGGATGTTCCCTTTTTACTCATACTAGTTTGGGTTGGAGCTTTTGTCACTTGGAACTGAAAGTTTCTTAAACTCATACAAAATACTCTAGCAAAGTTAC